CTGAAGCACTAACGCCTTTAATTTTATATATTTATGTGTTTGACCTCATATAAAGAACATATTATATATGTTGCATATCTTAGGCGTTGTCTATCAGTAGATTAAATTAAAATTTAACATCTCTGTTTTAAATTTAGCCAATATCACATCATAATTAAACAATAAATAATAAAACGTCCGGCTAAATCTTTTTATTAATATCATTTGATATTGGTTTATGTACAATCGTACGAGTCCATTATCCAAAGAATAGAAAAGAAACGAAATAGGCTGTTTCCCGTTACCGGTATGCATATTGCGAATAGCTATACAGAGCAGTTAACCTATTGGATGAAATTGGGTAATGGAGACTTACGCCACACACACCACAAAGTGTATATATTACCATCACTTTTACAGTATTTCAAAAGTTCAAGTGCTGAAAATAGGTCTCCCCTCTAGATTGCCTCATTGGGGATATTTGCCATAATTGTCTTGATTGACAGTAGGGTTGGAAATTGTAGTTTTTTTTATAGAATTAGAGTGACAAACGAGCACACATTAACTTGATGGTAAGTGGTTGCTGTGGCCCATAGACATCTACATCTATCTTCGCTTGCGAATTAAAATGCAGATGCGTAGTCAGCCGTGAGGACTAAGATGGAATGCCTGTTTGCCAGTATAAAGGGTCTCCGGTTCTCTACACTCACCATACGAAACACAGCAGCGTTAAGCTGCTATTTATGCTGGTTTTCTGTGAGAGCGTGGTCCTTCCCCGGTCGAGCCGACCCATTCGTGCTACAACCATAATATAGCTACAGCATGGCTCTACCACGTATGAACCTATTTTCTGGACCGATACGACTTAGGGACCTTCAAGAAAAGAGCCTACTCCTTTTTAAAAGGCCGGCAACGCATCTGCAATGCCCCTGGTGTTACAGTTGTTCATGGGCGGCGGTAGTCACTTACCATCAGGTGAGCCGCATGCTCGTTTGCCCCCTCTCCTATAAAAAATAGGCGTTTGTAGAGTCCGTATCGTGCTCCGTAGCCAAGAGCCAAGCACTCGCTAACAATTTTACAGTGCGCAAGCAACCTTGCTTCGGTTCCCGCCGACATTCACCGATTCGCGGATGTTCGAAATTTTAAATGATGCCTATGATGATGTTTTATATACTCATCAGGTTTGTACGTATGAAATTACATTACGAATATACTTTTCTTTATTAAATTGAAGCGACAAAGGAACTTGTAGTCCACCTGATGATAAGCTGCAGCCCATGGACTCCTGCAGTCAACTTTAATAAAGACGGATGCAGATGCTTTGTCAGCCCTGAGAACTAAGATACTTCACAAAATCAACTACCAACACCACTAACTATACTGGCTGTCTTTGCCCTTTGGACCGAATGCTTTATACAAATATAGGTATGGGGGGGGGGGGGGGCATTAAACTAGTAATATTCGACATAATGTTAATAATTTATACCGGGTCATTTTTCAAAGAGTAGCCAAATTATAAACTTAAGTTCAAATATATAAATAATGATATAACGTTATGGAAAATACGAGTAAATAAGGTGGAAGCCTTTTATTTCAAATTATCCCAAATTGAATGTGATTAATGGGCAACAACGTTTTTGCCTACTGATCGACCCTTACGATTGCGTGCGTGCACAGTAAATTCAGTTAAAATAATGCATTACCACACATTTTGACTTTTAAAAGATAAAAAGGACTGACCGTTTGAGACTGTTTTAATTATTTTTTTTTCACCGTTTGCCTATATTACTTATTCTGAATTTACTAGTTGCAATGAATGTTACTAGTTGCTAACTGGTAACATTCATTGCTATGCGGATGACAGCACTGGTGATGCTCTATACACCGGCCGTGCCAATATTTCTCGGGAAAACGTCGCCGAGTACCGGAACAAACTTGTGTCTGAAGTCGAGTCTTTGCTGAACAAAGTCTCGGATTGGGGGCGACTAAATCTAGTCCAGTTTAATCCTCAGAAGACACAAGTTTGCGCGTTTACCGCTAAAAAGAACCCCTTTGTCGTATCTCCTCAGTTTCAAGGCACTCCCCTTCTTGCCTCAGCCAGTATCGGTATCCTCGGAGTCGACATATCGAGTGACGTGCAGTTTCGTGGTCACTTGGAAGACAAGGCCAAATTGGCCTCTAAAAAGCTTGGCGTGCTCAGTAGAGCGGGACAGTATTTCATGCCGGCACACCGCCTGCAACTTTACAAGGCGCAGGTTCGGCCTCACATGGAATACTGTTCCCATCTCTGGGCAGGGGCTCCCCAGTGCCAGCTCCTTCCACTTGACCGCATCCAGCGCAGAGCGGCTCGAATCGTCGACGACCGAGCCCTTTCCGATCGGCTCGATTCATTGGCACTGCGAAGAGATGTTGCATCCCTTTGCATTTTCTTTCGCATCTACCATGGGGAGTGCTCTGAGGAATTGTTCGGATTAATCCCAGCCGCCAAATTTCACGAACGCACATCGCGGCAGAACTCCCGATACACTCACCAGACGAAACGCAGAAGCAGAGCCTCTACTTCACGCCGGTATTCTGTGAGGTCGTGGTACCAACCCGGCTCGAGCCGGCCCATACGTGCAACAGCACAAACTGCTGCGTGGCTCTACCAAGTCTTCTAGTAACGGGTCGGGTGGGGATGGGGGGGTGGGGTTGCGGCACTCACCCCGTACAGAACAGTAAGAAATCTTACTGAGACGGACTATTTGGAAGAAAAAGAGCATTATCTAGTAGAAAAGTCTTCTTAGAAGGCCTCTATATACCTATCCAGATAATACTAAGTAAGTTATCTCGAGTTTTAGTACAATCATATAAACACGTTTGGGTAGGTACTTTTTTATAAAATAAGTGTTACAAAAGAGCACACAGTCCACTTGATGATGAATGAATTACCATACACAACTACATTTAATCTCAATTAAGAATCAAAATGCAGATGCGTTGTCAACCCTAAGGCCTAAGATGGAATGTCCTTTCCAGTAAAAAGGGTCCCGGTTCTCTACACTCACCATAAGAAACACAGCAGCATTAAGCTGCTATTTCACGCTGGTATTCTGAGAGAGCGTGGTCCTACCTCGGTCGCGCCGACCCATTCGTGCTACAACCATGATATAGCCGCAGCGTGGCTCTACTATGTACATATAACACTCTCTCACTTCTGTCGCCAGATGTGTCTGCACTGATGCGTTCCGCTCTGAAGGATAAAGAGAGCCAGTATAATTTGAGGCTTGTAAGGCATCTTATAGTCCTCTAAGAACTATAGGACTTATATGGAATGCCCCATTATTATTTTTCTAACTATCAAAATAATAAGACCTTTCATCTTAGTCCTCAGAGGTGACAACGCAACTGTAAACTTCTCTGAAGTTTTGTCGCATTAGTTTTATAAAAAAAAGCTAAACCTAAACCGCCTTATCACAAAAAGTAGTTATGATTAGTCCCAGGTTTATACTGGTCTGTTTCAATTCCGTGGAAAATAACGCGAGTTAAAATTTAATGTATGGAATTTTACATTTACTGTCAAATGTAATGAGGGTCAAATATTTAAAACACAACACTTTTACATACAATACACGGGAGATTGAACCCTAAATTATTATCCTTAAGACCATAAAACCGGTAAACGAAGTGAAGGATCGCACTTCAATAGATAAGAGATGCTGGAAGTAGATGTATACATGTGACTAAGGACCGTGCTTTGAGACGGTCGTTGGGGCATACCTACGTTCAGCAATGGACTTATGAAGGGCTGTAATAATGATGATTATAAGACCTTGTAAGTATTTGTACTACCAGGAAATCGTCTCTACTGTTACTCATGATACCGCAAGCAAACTTAAGCTCTGCGCTAATTTGTCGTCAAATATTGAGAAACGTAGAAACTTTGATTTTATTATAAACACAATAAATTTATTAGAATGTAATCAAAATGCAGATGCGTTGTCACCCGTGAGAACTAAGATGGAATGCTTCTTTTCCAGTAAAAATAGTCTCCGGTTCTCCACACTCACCATACGAAACACAGCCGTGTTAAGCTGCTATTTTACGCTGGTATTATGTGAGAACGTGGTTCTTCCCCGGTCAAGCCGACCCATTCGTGCTACTATATTACTAATATAGCTGCAGCATGGCTCTACCACGTATAAAACGTTTATATTATGTACTACATAGCGTAATATATATTAGTTATCTAAGACGTGAAACGGATACTATACTTTTCTTGCTCCATTTACACGTTTCGACAGTTTGTAAAAAGTCAATAGTCAACTGACTAGTGGCGACATCTGTCGCGTTTGCATACACTATCGCTACATTTTCTAGGTTAAAGTACTAAAATTATAACGCCTTTGGCCTAATAATGTACCAACGTGCTATATCAAATTAGTATTTATTATCTGTAATTATTTTTAAAACATCTAAAGGAATGTGTTTTATGTTAGAATGAACAATAAAATAAAATAGATATAGATGACATTCACATGTTCTCATTGGCTGAATAATTTTATTTGTAGCGTTATGGTAAAATTAAAAAAAAATATGTTATGAGTATTGACAGGAATTCGATTTTTTAATTGGTGTAAAAGTAACGCGGTTTCGGAAAATTACTCCCGTACGTTGTCGCTAGTTAGAATTCGTATATAGGAAGAAGCGCCAAGCTCGTTTTAAATATATCTTACGTGTGATCAGCGTACTCCCTCGTACTTACTTATCCACAGGCACTCCCGATTCTCTAGATTCTAGCACCGTCACTATCCACATCGGGGCATCGTCAAGCGACGCTCTACAATACGAAATCACACGAAAATCATCTTCCCTGTACGAAACAATAACGCGCGATCCTTACATAATTCCCGTCCGCCATTACAAGCGTGACACGCGAATAGCGCCCCTAAAAACGCTGTGCTCCCAGCAGAATGTAACCATTATCCCGTGGTTGGTTTCGGAGCTGCGCCGGCGGTTGCAACCTTGAATTCAAAACGCACCTTTAATTTTAGCCGGTTAACCTAGATACGGGTACCATTTCGAGTTCGCCGGATCGATATTCGCATGCGCCGTGTCTCGGATGGATTTTAAAATAGTACGGCGGGTGTGGTGGGTAAGTTGAGGTCGCCGGGCGAGGTATGGCGGCGCCCGACGCTCGCGGCCGACTGCCGGGCACCGGGTTTTTCGCGCGCAGGCGCCCTCCGCGCCCTAGCCTAACGATCCGCCAGCTCTCAGTTCCAAAGAGAGATCACTTGTCACCGAACAGGTGTGCCAACTCCGATCCTCCTCACCAGCACAACTCACAGTCTTGCTGGTGTTTGTTCTATGCTATACTTCCATTTAATTTACAGGCGTTACTAATTTTTTTTCACATCTATATAGTCCCTTTTTTGTTTTGAAAAAAGATTAAAAATAAAAAGAAAAACTGTCTAAACATTTCCATTTTCAAATTATTTTTCACGTTCATCCGTAGTACAAGTGGCGCCACGAGTGGTGAAAATTCGAACTAAATTATAAAGCCTAGAAAATTTATAGCGTTATTATTTGGCTGTATTTGGTTTATTTATCGTATATCGGCTCTTCTGTAAAAAAAAGGATGAAACCTTTTTGAATACTAATTATGCCTACTGATATTTAGCATTTGTATATACTTGGAAATGAGTTCTTTTTTTAATTTTGCAATATGCATTGAGAGTAGCAAGTAGGTCAGGTTGAGTAGGTACTATTGTCTATAATTAAAAAAGATCTTGAATTTAGCCGAGTTCTCATCCTATTCATTAGCGCAAGTAAATTAAAAAAAAAAACTTGCAGATGTTCATTAAAAATTAACGTAAAATTTAATAAAAAGGTGCTTGGTTGTATAAAATTTTTACTCCATTTAATACTATTATTTTTTATTTATTATCACTATATGAATTTTGCCAGAAGGATTTAGTATAAGGTGAACTGTAAGCAACGAAATAAGGTATGCAGCGCACTCTGTTATGTGAAGTGGGAAACTCAAACTAATCATGGTTCGTATTGGCACCCGAAGATGGCATGACCATGCGAGAAATGCACTTATACGCGAGCGTAAGGCTAAGGCTAAGGCCGTAATGCCTTAATGAAGATGGAGGATGCGTACCGTGCGGTTTGGGGTCACGACAAACAGATACAGTTGTAAGGGAAAGTTCTGATTGGCGTCCGTTCGAGTTGTATAGGAAACAGGCTGCCATGCCACCTAAGAATTAATTGTGGTAAATCAGCATTTATTAATGTAAATAAGAATTTATATTAATAAATGCTGATTTACCACACCTAAAACTGCTCGAAGCTAAAGAAAAATATTAGGAGGAAATCTACATTTTCAAGAAATACCGTTCACAAAATAACTGCTAACTTGTATTGGGTAGCGCGATAGTTTTTTCCTAATTCCATAACTATGAGAAAATAAAGAAGAGCTGTAATAGGAGGAGGCCTGTGTCCAACAGAGGGAAGGGTGCAGATTGTGGGTAAGAAACGGGAAACGAGCACAGACAGAATAATGCTGTGTTTCGTATGGAGAGTACCGGAGACACTTTTGAACTGGTAACGAGGCATCTTAGTCCTCAAGGGCAATGCCATTTGATTCTTAATCGGGGATAGGATGTAGATATCTATGGGCCGCATGCATGTACTTATCATCAGTGTGCCCGGTTGTCACCCTTATTCCATATAAAAATACTGTGCTCTGTTCAGTTCATTTCCACGAAAGTAAGCAAGAAAATAGGCTGCCACTGTCCCCCGTAATATGCGACGTTTTTGATTTTTTTTCTAGACATGAATCCTAGTGAATATTTATATGCTGTAAGTTTATAACTAGCTTCATATCTCAGATATACCCTTCAGATTTTCCAGAAAGCTGAATCTTGTAATGAATACCGGTCATTTCTCCTTTTTTCTTTAAAAGTCTTTTGAATCTACTGCTCGCTATATGGTAAGGCCTGAGTGAAGAGCGTTCAGCGAGGCATGCTCAGTTTTTCAGTTTCCTCTCACTCTACGTTGAGCAAATCTGGGTCGCATAATCTTTCTTGACACATTTCATGCCTTCATTAATGTCTATCAAAAGTCCACTGCTGTACATACTCGTATGTAGGTCTCATAGGCCTTAAGTACGAAAGTATTAATTTTAACTAATTAAGAGATCTCTCACAACTTGCGATGGATACTGTAATTTGTGAGTAGAATTTGAATCAAAATGCAAGGATTCCGAAATACGCTTTCATCCTTACTTCGTATCTCTGCTAACCGGGAATCAAATTGGAACACTCCTTTGTACGTCGTGCTGAAATTTGCGTATACGTCAGAGAGGACATCTGTTCTCGACGCCTCAGCAGTCTTGAAGGTGTAGCCATGCCACTTCAATAACTTCAATAAATATCTATTAGTATAGACTAAGATGGAATATCCCGTTTCCAGTAAAAAGGGTCTCCGGCTCTCTACACTCATTATACGAAACACAGTAGCATGAAGCTGCTATTTTACGCTGGCATTCTGTGAGAGAGTGGTCCCTTCCCGGTCGAGCTGCCCCATTCGTGCTACAACCATAATATGCAGCTGCAGCGTGGCTCTACCAGGTATAGTGGTTGTGGTATCATCACTTAAAAATTACTATTGATAATTTCATTGTTGTCGATATGGATCGAAGACAAACCCAGGTTGCTCGCGTACTGGGAAATTCACAGCAAGTCCCATATTTCATTCTCCAATATTGGTTTTCAGACCGGCTGTGTTGTGATTGTCATGTATCATTGACAACGACGTCCTAACTTACCTCTGATGTTATAGCTTATTCACATAAGCATTAACAGAACACGAGTAAGTTAGGAAAGGGAAAATCTTTTGCAATATTAAAGTATCTAGACAGTTGTTGGAGGCTGTACAAACATGTTTTCTCCCCGGTCAACGATCCACTGGTACAGCTACATATAATACGCTGCGTGTCTCTACCATGTGGTAGAGTCAGAAAAAGTGTTTCTAAATATTGACAGACATTGGGATTTTTTTATAGGACAAGGGACAAGCGACCACACAGTACACCTGATGGCAAGCGGCCGACGTGGCCCATAGACATATCTACATCTACCCTCGTTTGCGAATAAAATGAAGATGCGTTGTCAGCCGTGAGGACTAAGATAGAATGCCTCTTTTCCGGTAAAATGGATCTCCGGTTCTCTACACTCACCAAACGAAACACAGCAGCATTAAACTGTTATTTTACGCTGGTATTCTGTGAGAGTGTGGTCTTTCCCCGGTCAAGCCAACTCGTTTGTGCTACAACTGTACTATTGATATAGCTGTAGCATGGCGCTACCACGTATGATTACGTATATTTCTGCAGAAACATTGGTTAGATTTCCTATGCTGGCAAGCGCAGTTTTGGCGACTTTTCACTAGATATGTCATTCAGGCCCGAGGACTAAAATGCCTGCCTAGTTCATTTGTTTGCAGGATGAAACATAATTATAGACACTTACGTTATTTCATTCATTTTGTTAGTGTAAATAATTACTTTATTTTAGACAGGCATTGACTTGTAATTTTCATTTAATTTTTTTTTTAAATAATGGCAAGATGGTGTATCATATCAAAGCACCAATAATTGGTGATGGAATTTGCTTATGTAGGGCAACCTCTTATATGTTGTATGGGAACTAAGTGTTGTATATTGGGAACTACGTTATTGCGGTCATATTATTGTTTCTTTACAATATGAAACACAAACGTAAAGTTGCTCGTCGTCATAAGACCATCGCGATCTCTTTCGACATTGCATAAGCTTTTGATACAGTCTGACACGAAGGTCTTATCTACAAATTATATAAAATAAGTCTCCTCGATCGTCTTGTACATCTCGTGGCCTCTTACCTGAAGGATCGTACATTTCTTTTTAGACACGAAGGCACGCTCTCCTCGCTGCGCCCCATCAAAGTTGGTGTCCCTCAGGGCTCAGTACTTGCTCCTCTCCTGTATATCCTGTTAACCAACGACATACCCATCCTGTCGAAAGGTGTTCAGCTCTCCCTCTTCGCAGAGGACACTGCCCTCTATTGTAAAGGTATCTCGCTACCTTACATACGGAACAAGATCCGAAAGTCAGTTGATGACTTAGGAGCTTGGTTCCAAAAATTGTGCATCGATGTGAACCCGGAGAAGAGCTCCGCCGTTCACTTCGATTATAAACGACGACGCTTCAAAATACTCCACCAATATGCTAGGGTCCCCTGTCCCCTGGCATACCGTCTGCGAAATATTTAGGTGTCACCCTTGACACGAGGCTCACCTTCGGGCCCCATGTCAAAAGAGTAATCCAACTCGCAAGGCACGTTTTATTCTGAGTAGGCTCAACAGTATGCTGGACCAACACAGTAAAATGTCCCTCCGAAACAAGCGAACCCTTTATAAGGTCTGTATACGACCAGTTATGACTTACGCGGGCCTTATATTTTCTCACGCTGACCCTAAAATCATTAACGAACTCCAAATAGTTCAAAACCTTTTCTTTCGTCGAGCTACGAACGCACCCGTAACGCCGACCTCCATCGAGACTTAGAGCTCCCTACAATTCCACAATTTCTAAAAACATTCTCTGAGAACTTCTTCAAAGCCTCAGAGTCTCACTCCAATCATTTCATTCGTGAGGCAGCTACTTATGCAGCCCCACTCCCCTCTCACTATCTAGTCCACAGGCCGAGAAACTCTCTCTCGGACCCGCCAAACAAGTTTTCAACCGACCTAAACTGCCTCCTGGCGGCTCAGGCCGACTCTTCTTAATTTTGCCTTATTAGGCTCCCCTTCAGTGGCTCGTCGCCGCCTGCGCCCCCTTTTGCCAAAAGAGGGTCGCTTCTGATTCGGCAGAAAGGCCTCATAAGTCAATGCCAGTCTCACAGGTGGTGTTTAGTGGGTACACTTAGGGTGGTTAGGTTAGGTTAGTCACAGTGAGTCCCACATAACCACGACAGCCGACTGTCGTGGTATGCTTAAAGCATTCACCACCTCCCTCTCGTTTACGGGGGTAGCCCTTTTCAATTGCTTCTGGGCGCAAAAAAAAACGTAAAGTTGCCCAATTTGTTTCTTGGTTCGTTTGTGGGCCCGTCCGCAAAGACGTATTAATAAAGATAGACAGGTTACACACTAACATTATTGTAT